TCAGTGGGGTGTTCCAAAATAGGTTTTAAAGTAGAATATGATTCTCCGATCCTTGGAGCTGATTGTGGTAGAACCTCATAGTCACACTCACAAGGACATTCGTTTCCCACTCTGGAGTCCACAATCGAATTGTAACCAATACTTAACCCATCCTGAGTGCTACTAAACGTGAAATTTCTTATATCATATCCTGAACCAATATCAAATTGGGTAGTGACCCCAGAATCGAATACAAGTCTAAAAACTCCTAACTCATAAGAATATTGATAGGATCCATAATTTGGAACCTTGATTATATGTGGCATACCGAACCCGGCGACTTTAATAACCACACCCTCCGAAGATGTGATGCTAAGTTCGGAACGATCACCAGCAAAGCAAAAGTAGTGGTCATCAAAGACTAAAGCAGTTTTATAAGTGCTATTATCAAGAACCATACAACCAGTTCCCTGGAAATACACCATATCGAAACTTGACCCTCTTGCACACAGGGTTCCACTTCCAGCAATCCCAAACCCCGAAACATTTACATTGGTAAAATACGCTATATTATAATTGAAAAATTCCTGCAAGCCAAGCAACAACTCATAATTGTTAATATTCTGTAGGGCGAAGTAGCCAAAGTTGACGACATATTCCGTGTGGATCTCAACCGGTTTTTCAACCGATAAAATGGTAAGGAAATTTCCCCAATTGGTGATCCTCAATGGGAGATTATAGCTATCCCCAGCTATGGTCGACGTTTCCACATAAAAGTCGTTTGAATTCCAGATGGCTTGTACGTCAAAGGATTCGATGTCAACAGGGGACAATAGACCTTTATTTTCAACGCTTGGATATACGAAGGTTCCACCAACCTGATAGTGTGTTTCGATTTCTATCGCAGAGACTAGACAGCCAAAAACAGTAAAAAGTATAACGTATGATAAGCAATTCATATTCTGGTTGAAGCTGAGCTAGGGAGAATGTCGACTCTATGAATTTTAAGCAGTAATGTGGTTTACTTATAATGTTTGATATTCTGGGAAATATCGTTCGGGGATACCAACAGAAACAAAGAAATGGCACATGCCAAGAATGAGTTCCAATTCAATTTAGGTCTTGGGTATTGAGCGAGCTTTTGCTGCATAACTTTCGGTAACTTAATTGTGAAGGACCCCAAATTGCCACGTTCGGTCGCACTGAAGGATTTTCCTTGCTGAATTCCGTAGAATGATTCACTAAGTATTCTTATTTGCATGAATAACTGAAAATCTAATATAATCAGAAAATAGAACTGCCCAAGGTACAATTGTCTTTTCTTGATATTGCAATAAATTTCAGAGTTGTCTTGTCAATACACTTGTCATTGAATTTTGCATAATTTCTTGGAAATGTATATCTTGGGGGGACTACTGATTTGTATTTAATCTACACAATTATGACGTTGAATATAATCAGTATTCTTTTTCAGTGTCTTATTGTATGATGCAATGATTTTCTACATGGGTATACTTTCTTTCTACTTAAGAATAGAACCAGCTTTGAAGTTAAAATAGAGGCCCTAAATATGATATGTTACCCGGATATTGGTTTTGAATGTACTTGTAAAGTACAAATAATAATCTGGATTGTTCCTAAAAAATATTTATCTGAAGACTATTTTGGGAAAGTGCATAAAAAATACCTCTCTAAAAAAATATCTCGAACTCACCCACATGCACCTTGTCAGGAAAAGGAAAGAGATAGTTATTCTGCACACACTCGAGATCTCTCTGAGCGTTAATCAATTATAGAAGAAACGATATTCCTGAATATAAATCCGATTTTAATATTTAACCCTCACGATCTAAACATAAATAAGAAATATTTGAAAAATCATACCCAAAAACCCCTTTATGGGTATCTCATTAATAATTCCACTACCAGAAGCAGCACTGGGAGCAACCACCGTTGTTACATAGGTAGAAGTAAATTCTGGGATAGCACTCGTTTCAGCATCAGCAGCTGCCCCATTATTCCCAGAATCGCTGCTAGACTCCAAAACAGTCGATGTTTGAACAGATTGCTCGCTGGATTCTTCAAACTGAGACGTTTCGAACTCTGTGGTTTGCTCTTCTTCTGTGGACTCACTTGGTAGGTCTTCCCCGGATTCTGTCTCGGTAGTTTGAGTTTCAACTATATCCTCCGAACCACTTGTGGCTTCTTCCATAGAGTCAGTGCTGATATAGAAATCTTCTTCCCTTGGAGCAGACTGTTGTAGAATTCTATTGCACACACATGGACATTCGTTTCCCAGCCCGGATTCCAAAGGAATATTGTAGCTGATGGTTAACAAAGGGTCGCCTTTACGAATGGTGAAATTGTTCGCATCATAACCAGGACCAATATCAAATTTGTACTCGGTACCAGTCTCGTAGATGATACTTAAAATGCTTCCATCGTAAGAAAACTCATATTCGCCTTCCGCTCTTATTCTGATGTAGGTATTAGGAATGCCTAATCCAGCCACTTGGACAGTGTCATACATCGCACCAATAAAAATCTCGGACCATTCCCCTGAAAAACAGAATACTGCTTCACCGTCAACACTCTGGGCTTCAAAAGTACTATGATCAAGTGCCACACATCCGCCATCATACCTGTAAGATTCCGCCAGGGTCCATGATGCTCTTGAACAAATTTCCCCACTGTTAGACAATACCGGCCAGTAAGAATTTACATAAGCAAAATAAGCTAGACCATCATTATTGAAATTATCAACTCTGAACCACGCCTCTCCACCGCGGTCTGTGTTATCGACAGTGAAGTACCCTAGGTTGGCCAAGTAGTCAATATTTATCTCAAACAAGTTTTGAGTTAACATTAGAATGATATGGAAATTTCCCCAATTGGTTATCAGCGAACTGAGTTGGTGTGTGTCCCTGCTAATGGTTGAGGTTTTTTGGTAGTAGAAATCGTTATGGTTTAAGATAACTGAAACATTAAAAAAATCGATGTCAATTAATGATAGGAGTCCAGTAATTTCAACAGTTGGATACAGGAAATTTCCTCCTTCTTGAAAATAAGTGTCCAATTCTATAGCTGATGTTTGACAGCCAAGAAAGCTAAATATTAGTAGGTATAATAGATTCATTCTCATGTCATTAGGTTGGAGAAAGATATAGGCTTAACGACTTGAGAAAAACTACTTCTAAATAAGTAAGGGATATTTATAGTTTTGGTACTTCGGAATAAGCTTTCTTTGGATAAATTTAGGGGGGATGAATAGGTGGGCGTTAGCAAGCGATACCACCTGCCAAGCAAAAATAATTTGCTTCCCTCATCAGTTGCATGACTGTAAAAGTTTCGGTTTAACTACTTTATTTCTGCAAGTCACGTAGTTGGGGATGTTGGTTTTCGTGGACTATTCGCAAGGTAAAATTCAACGAAGTTATCATTAATGACAATTATCAATGGCGGTCATTAACGTCTAGATATTTCCTTTGACTGTTAGCTCTAAGCCAGAAGGCTAGATTGACTATGAGTTTTTCTTATTAGTCGATGACACCAATGTTTTTCTTCTGCATTCTGTCATTTTGACGTTGCGTCACGGCACTAGTATGAGAAAAATATACAGCTGCAATAACAAACCATATATATATAAGATATAACTTTGGTACAATATTTGGCATTTCCGAATATGCGTTATGGAATTCTAGGTTTCCAGTTTCAGTGCATTGACTATAAATGATAATCTTTACCTAAAATATTTTTTAACTTCTAAAATAAGCGAGCTGTATGTTTAAAAAATACTCGCTAAAAAATATTCTTGTGGAACCTATATTTAGCCAGCGTTCACTGCTTCGAGGAAACATTTGCAAGCATTGAGTAGTATATTTTAGAACTCTAGTCTAGTCTTCTACATTGAATATCCCTGACCGTTGAGATTATTATATTCTGATTAATACTGTTTACGGAATTTTTGCAAGAAATACTGATTGTCGAGAGGATAAAATAGAGAATAAGCTCATGCAAAATGACAGGAAGAACGTTGAGATTTCTTTGAGTTAGACTCTTCATCCTCCTCTCTTGACAACATTTCAATATTCTTTTCGTTGGTGCATTTAACTGTTGCAATTGAAAATTTCATCAATGTCATATACAAAATTTAGCCCCTTTAATCTGGCGTCTCCAAGTATAACTGGATATTTAACTGAAGAACCTTACTCTCCGAATGCCAAAAACCAGTTCGGGCATCTTCAGAAAACAAATTATCGAGACATCAATATGCCTTCTATTCAAATCGAGAAGCTGCTTTATAGGTTCAACTGTTGACAAATTCATGACATCATTGGAATTATTAATGTTTCGATACTATACTGAGGTAGATTGGTCTAGTAGAATATTGTGTTTCAAAAATACAGCGGGGGAAGGAGTTTTCTATGCGGCTTGTACTTGGCTACAAACCATCAACTTAATATGTTTTTAAGTTTAATGGCTGGAAATTTTTAAGTCAATAGCTCGTTTTAAATTTACTGTAGGAATCTCTGGGATATTTGACGTAAATTCATGTGAATGAAACTACTCCAAAGGGGGATGAATCGCTAGTAAGAGGTACTTAATCATTTTTCGCTGCTAGAGGAAAAGCGAACAAGAGGATACGTATATATTGAAATAATTTAAATAGTAATCGAGATATATCGGCAGTTAAATATCTTGAGGCTGGATTTACTTAGTTACTTAAGGTAATTATGATCCTGTCCGTTGCTAGTGTTTCAGCTTCGACCGATATACTTTATGAAAGCTGATGGGTACCAAATAAGTTCGTGGTTCATTGTCCTTTCTGAAATTGTGGCAACTAAAAATTGATCTTGCAATTTGCACCCCAGAGAAATGCCCATTTGATTGTACTTTCTAAATCATATTCACTTCGATGATGGGGAGAAAAATGTCATCCCTTTCGTACTCTTATAACCCAACAATATTAAGTCCGCATTATTTTATGATCTTGGAGAGAACAATCTGGCGGGGCTTAGTTTTCGCCGCATGTGAAAGTAAACAAACTAAACTCATAAACTCCGGCCCCAAGACCCCCCACTAAGCTAACCAATTGCAGCAAAATAACAATACTGTCGGCGGAAATGATTATCCTTTCAAAGCATCCGTCATCCGCTAGTTTGATGAATTTGCGTCTAGAAATTTGTAGTCCTTTCAACGGATAAAAAAATCACAGTCGCAAAATCCGCTTTTTGGTTAGCTTTGTTTCTGTGAAATTCGCTCCGGGTATTGAAATTCGTTTTGAATGACTAGGGGGTGTTTACCTGTTGCCGTATATAGATATAGAATGATTGCCCTTGATTTATTGATAGATATGAGGTCGTGATGCATAAAGATCATTGAAAATCCCCACAATTGTTCAAACGAAAAAATTCCCTTTGTTAATAAAACTATTCTAAATTGGGTAATTCCCCCAATAAGCCAGTTCTCTTATAAATAGTACCCCAGACGCAGCTTTTCACATACAACGAATTCATAAATGACAACTCATTACATCCCCCCAGATTAGCTAAACGAAAATGATTATAGACTACTTATTACAATATATAAGCAAATGGTACATAATCCTACCAATATTTTTCATCATCTACCATGTCTACCAGACATTCCAAACCAGAAGATTGATGGCCAAACTAGGTGCTAAATTCCCCACCAATGTAATATCTGATGGGTTCTATGGTTTTACAATGTGGAAAACTCTCCTTGATGCCAAAAGGGAAGCCCGGATGCTTGAATATGGACTTGAACGATACAAAACCCTTCCTAATCCAAACGTATATACATTGGCTTTCCGAATTCTTGGAATGCAGCTCATTGATACTAGAGAGCCTGAAAACATTAAGGCAATCTTATCAACTCAATTCAATGATTTTTCCTTAGGCAGAAGGCATGATGTTATGTATCCCTTGCTTGGAGATGGAATATTTACTCAGGATAATTTAGCTTGGAAACATTCACGTGCATTATTGAGACCTCAGTTTGCTAGGGAACAAGTTGGACATGTCAAATTATTGGAACCCCATTTGCAAGTGTTTTTCAAACACGTTAGAAAAGCCCAAGGACAAGTGTTTGATATCCAAGAGTTGTTTTTCAGATTGACGGTAGATACTAGTACTGAGTTTTTGTTTGGTGAGTCGGTTCAAAGTTTAAGAGATGAGTCTGTGGGGATGCTGCAGCAGGCAACAGATGTGGATGGAAAGGCTGATTTCCCAAAAGCATTTAATATTTCTCAGGAATATTTGGCTTCTAGGGCAATATTACAAAGCTTCTTTTGGATACTTAATCCAAAGGAGTTTAGGGATGCTAATGCCAAGGTTCATAAATTCGCTAATCATTATGTGAAAAGAGTTCTTAACATGTCACAAGAGGAATTGGAAAAGGAACAAGGATATACATTCTTGTATGAACTAGCAAAGCAGACTAAAGATCCCAAGGTATTAAGGGACCAATTATTGAATATCTTGGTTGCCGGTAGAGATACCACTGCAGGGTTATTATCATTTTTATTTTTTGAATTGGCAAGAAATCCAGAAATCTTTGCCAAACTAAAGGAAGAGATATATACCCGATTTGGTTCTGGTGAAGACTCGAGAATTGAAGAAATCACATTTGAATCATTAAAGAAATGCGAATACTTAAAAGTAGTCATCCAGGAAGCATTAAGATTATATCCTTCTGTTCCACAAAACTTCAGAATTGCAACCAAAGATACAACCTTACCCACAGGTGGTGGTCCGGATGGAAAATCTCCCATACTTGTTAGAAAGGGACAAAATGTCACCTATCCAATCTTCGGCACTCATCGTACAGAGGCATTTTACGGAAAGGATGCATTGGAATTTAAGCCAGAAAGATGGTTCGAGGCAAGAACGAGAAAATTGGGTTGGGCCTATTTGCCATTCAATGGTGGGCCTAGGATTTGTTTGGGACAACAATTTGCTTTGACTGAGGCTCTGTATGTTACAGTGAGGATTATACAGGAGTTTGGCAATCTATGGATGGATCCAGAAACTCCTTATCCTCCCAAGAAATTGACGCATTTGACGATGTCTCTTTATAATGGGTGCAATATTAAGTTATATTAGGTTTGTAAATCATTTATATGTAGGACTAATATGATAGCAGTATATTTCTTATTTGAATATAAGATGTAGATCACTCTATCGTGAAATATCTTTTTACATTGTTAAACTGCTCTGAATTGTTTGGGGACATGATGTGTTCCATAGTAAAGATATGTAAGTAGTTGTCTGGTTGAATACGCCTACCATTGAGAGGCAAAGAAAGCACTAAGCAAGACATGGTTGAATAGATGACGATTTATAAGGACATTCAACAGTACTTTGTTCACACAACTTCAAAGCTTCAGAATAAAGTATTGACTGGTAAAACACAGAAGTAATCAACTAATAAGAAAGAAATATTTCTATTGTTCCGACCACAGTCTCATGCGAAAAGAATAAAAAAATAAGACTAAATGCGCTAAGAAAACCATTTTTTTCGCAGCCATTTTAATTGCACGCAAGATTCCCCAGATCACGCCAAAAATTACGCCAATATGTAACTTCAAACTGACCTTATGAAAACATGGTTTCCTCAAGAAGATTTGATCTCCCAACTAGAAGAATAAATGCAATAAATACTAAAATTATAAATATAAACAAAATATTATTAATAAACATATACATCTAAAATATACAAGAAACCACTCACCACCAACCACCCACCCCCCTCTCCACACTCCCCTCCATTCCGCCACCACAAGCAAGCAAACTATATACCCCTATCCCCCGCCCTTCCAGATGGGAATGGTTAGATCAACTTACAAAAGGCAAAAGTTGTTACAATTGATTTTTGTAATACTAACTGGAAAGAAGCATTGATTGTCAACAGAAGGCGTTCTTGTTAGATATCTCCTCTCGACAGTAATAACTTCAGAACCCTTGATTGGCACTCAACCAACCTTGAGGACTTCTCATTAACCATCTGGTTTAGCCCGTTGCCCATTGAAAGCAGTGTGAAATCTGTGGGCAAGGACCTTCTGCTAGAAAAAGAAAGAATCCACTCGTAACTAAAAATAGGCTTATCGATAACGTCCTTTTTCAGTAATCTGGGAATAACTTTCTGGTTAGTATGTCACCAAAATTGGATCGTTGTTACTTTCCTCTTTCAATGACTGACAATGATTTTGGTATTAATACGTACTTTATCTCATTCTGGATTGATTTGGAAGTGAACAAAATGGAAACCTATTGTGGATTGATTTGGAAGTGAACTAAATGGCACCCTAAACGAGTAATATGACTTGGACTTCCAACCTAACACTCATCGACTTCCAACCTAACACCCATCAGGTACACTATTATTTTATCTTTGAAATGAACCAACAATAATGACCCCATTGACATGACCGACTCAAACGAATGAAAAAGATAGTAGAGACAAACAAACAAATAACTTTCTTATTTTTATTTTTTTATTTTTTATTTATTTTTTTTTTTTAAGTTTTTTTTTTGGTGTTTTATTTTTTATTAGAAAAAAATTTTAAAAAATCGAAGTTATAAAAGGGAACTAAAACAAGAACTGAAATAAGGATGATTCAATGAAAGGAATCTGATCTATGAAGGGAAACCAACAAACTGAATTCAAATGGATGAAAAACAAACAAATAACTTTCTATTCTTTTTTTTTACATTTTTTTTATTTTTTTTTTTTTGTATTTTGTATTCTATTTTTTATTAGAAAAAAATTTTAAAAAATCAAAGTTATTAAAGAACATTATAACAAGAACTGAAAGAAGAATGAGCCGGTCAGCCAATGTTGATGTGTGAAAGGAAGGAAGCATGGAAGGAGTGAGTGAATGAACTGGAGATAGATGCAAGGAAGGATTTATGGAGGGAAGGATTTAGGAAGGGAAGGATTTAGGAAGGAAGGAGGGATGAAGGGAAGGAAGGATGAATGAAGGGAAGCAAGGAAGGATGAATTGGATGGTAAAAGGAACACATATGACAAATCCATATATCAATGACTAAATGAGAGAGAAAGGTAAAGAAGGAAAAGAAGAAAGAGAAAGAAAAAGAGAAAGAAAAAGAGAAAGAAAAGTTTACAAAAAAAATTGAGAATTGTAAAATTTCTAGTGGTATTTATAGTTTTTGGTTTTTTTTTGTGGTGAATTTGCAACCATTTTGCAACAATTGAACAAACCGGAAAAAAAAGTCCCATAATTGTTACTCTTAAAAATATCAAGCAAATGATATATATATACATACTCTGAGTAATTTGAAGTCTTTCCCCGGGAGTAAGGCAGGTTGTGTATATCTTACCTCACATGAGTATATGGCATTTTACGGTAGGCATTAAACTCTAGTTTGCATAAATCTAAAAGTTAAAAGAGTAGGTTTAAAGTTTGCAACAGAAGTGTTGAAATCCCCATATGACTTTGAATTTAATGATCTGTAAGAAGAAGAGATCAACATTCAACTTTCAAATTGCATATGCCATGTAGACTATCTAAAGAGCAGTGCACTTGTTTCCAAACTAACAAACTTTTAAGCTAGAGTCTAATTATTCTGCTAAAACATAGTTAATTTCAAAATATAGCAGCTTTCGCAACATAAGGTTCTTCCAAGTATTTAACATCCCCCATAGTTAATTTCGCTGTTGTAGCAACTAAGATATCATAAACACTTCCACCAGAATTAAACCTTTACTGGAATTGTAATTGAGAATCTGGCTTCAATGTGTCAAGGAAATCTAAACAGATGAGGTTAGTCATGACAACCAAGTTCAAAACTCCCTGGGAACAGGATGGCTTCATCTAGTCATATCTCCCTATTTCTTTTTTCATATTCAAATCAATCTTAGTACACAGTTTCTTGGGGTATTTTATAGAAGATTCTTTGATACAGGGTGTTGCGGTGGAGTTTTAACGGTGCTAACAAAGCACAAAATATGACTGCAAAAAATTCAATCAATGCTACAAGAAATCTTAAGAAATAATAAGTAAATCCCTATAATATAACGGTCCCGTAAACGAATAAATAAAGAAGATGATAATGGTTCTATAAAAAATTAATATATGTAATAGTAA